TCCATTTTATCTGCTATTACTTAAACCAAGTGAAAACTGTATATCTCAAGATGGCTCTGACTCATACATACCAATTAGGACACAGTAGAACTCCTCATAGCATCTCCAAGGCTGTCATCTTTTGTAAGGCAACTGCCCAATCTTCTCCAGTAGAGCATCCGGTGAGTTCAGGCTGCTGACTCTTTGGTTAACAGTGAGCACTTAACTGAGCCATCAGTGTCCCTTGCTCAGACCTAAAATACTCAAATTTTAAGCATAATACTTATCAGAGTCAAAGTGGGAAATTTTTTTCTTCCTATATTACCTATCTAAAATTTTGTCATGGTAAAAACTTTTTTTCCCAGCAAAATATATTAACAATTTAAGAAATGACAATTTGCATCATATGATAATATTTTCTTATCAGAACCTTTAGGTTTATCTTTTCTGGTTTACATTTTTTTCTTGAGATAAAATTAACCTATCTTCAAATTTTGTTTAGTTCATAGTCAGATGTAAGGTTCACATAGAAATTATATGTCTGATAAATATTGGAAAGTTATTATGAATATGAGCAGAGCAGAGCACCCCTCATCTCTTCATCTAATAATTTCAGGTTATCTCATATACAGGTGATTTAAATGATGCAATGTTTGACCATCCTGGAGGACTAATTTATAAGGTAGATAGCTTGGCACATTTCCAAGGATGAAAGCTCAAGAACTAAGGGATTCATGTTAGACTTTAAATAGACAGTTGTCTGCTCCCTTAGAAGTGACATGATTAGATGTATGAAGGTACAGGATTGTACTCTGTGGTGCAGAAGGTCATATGAGTGAGAACTGACTCATGTGCACCTAACAATAACAACTACAACAACATATTTCTTAAGAATATGTTTATAATGATTTGGTTAAAAGTTTAAAAAGCAAATCAGTTTTCATTCAACAATCCATAGGCATGTTTTGTTGTGACATTGATTGTACTTCTCACAATGTAACAACATTCTTCTTCCTTCCTCCTTGTGTTTACCTTTTCCATTCTTATGTCTCCAATATCTTCCTGCTTTCTGACTTTTATCTCTTGGCAAGTGATGATCTAATGTTGTCCTAAGTTTAATGGTTCTAAGGAGAATATAACTTTCTGATGTTGCTCCCTTTACAGGTCTTTCCATTATCCAATGAAAATTGAGACTCAGGGGTAAATTAGCTCAATTTAAGGCCTGAAGAGTGTCCAATGAGCATATTCTTGTCATTGTTGTAGTAGTTAGGTGTCATTGAGTCAGTACTGACTCATAGTGACAACAGAACACAACACTGCCTGGTTCTGGGACAACATTACAATTGTTGTCATGCTTGAGTCGATTGATGCTGCCACTTTGCCAATTCATCTCACTCTGGGTCTTCCTCTTTTTACCTGACCCTACACAGTACCAAGGAGCTCTGGTAGCATAGTGGTTACAAATCAGGCTGCTAACATCAAGGTCAGAATTTCGAAACTACCAGTTGTCCATGGGACAAAGTTGAAACTTTCTGTTACTGAAAACATTTGCATCCTCGGAAACCCTGTGCAAGGTCACTATGAGTTGGAACTGACTCCACGGTACTTAACAATAACAACCAATTTACCAAACATCATATTCCTCTACAGTGACTGGTCCTTCATGACAATATATCTGAAATATAAGAGACAAAGTTTAGCTATCCAGGCTATCTGTTTATTCTTTTGGCAGCCCATGGTACTTTCAATATTCTCCTCCAACACCATAACTCAAACACATCCATTCTCCTAAGGTCTTTCTTGTTCTCTGTCCAGCTTTCACATGCATATGAGGT